ACACAACGAGAGGTTAGAGGGGGTGGATCAGGGATGGCAGACACACAACGAGAGGTTAGAGGGGGTGGATCAGGGATGGCAGACACACAACGAGACGTCAGAGGGGGTGGGTAAGGGATGGCAGACACACAACGAGACGTCAGAGGGGGTGGGTAAGGGATGGCAGACACAGTACCTGAAATCAGAAGAGAAGGGCAGCCGAAAGGGATGGCCGGAGAAGTAAAGGTATGTGAACAGCAATACACGCATTGCCATGGTCAAACGTTTACGTGAAGTGTTCATATATATCATATCTCTGGATTCGGCTTTGTAGCAGAATCAGGGCAGTAACGTACCACACGGGCACACGTTTACGTGAAGTGTTCATACATATCATATCTCTGGATTCGGTTTTGTAGTAGTATCAGGGCAGCTACCTACCACACGGGCACACGTTTACGTGAAGTGTTCATACATAACATATCGCTGGCTTCAGCTTCCTAGTAGTATCAGGGCAGTTACGTACCACACGGCACACGTTTACATGAAGTGTTCATATGTATCATATCTCTGGCTTCAGCTTTCTAGTAGTATCAGGGCAGCTACCTACCGCATCGGATGCTTCTTGGCCAGTCCATCCGTCACCAGATAGTACCCGCCGTGAGCGACATCCTCGCCCAAGTACACACAGTTCCTGTGCTTCTCGAGCGTTTCGTCGATGACCTTGGTCATGTGTTTGCGCATGACCTGTCCCTTCTTCTTGCCCTCATGCGGCCCTGTGAGGTGTGTGGGTTTTTAGGGGTCATGCGTAGGCCAAGGGGTATACTGAGCGACGCTTAGTGAGCCGTGAGAGCGGCTGCAGGCGGTGGTTGCTAGGGGAGCGATACTACGTCGTGAGCGTGGCATGCCAGCATTCACGCATAAACACACTCACCCTCTACTCCGTTCATGCTCAACACACCCAAACACAGACACACACCCTAACACAAACACAGGCACACACACAAACACAGACCCAGATACAGACACACACACTCACAAACATTTACCGAGATGCACATGCACGGCTGTGGCCCCTTCGCCAGGCACGGCTATCCTGGGGGCGCTGGTCTGTTCACTGATTTCGTCTCTGGTGGTGATCTTGGGCTCATTCACCACTTGGTCAAAGGCCGCACGTGCACGCGCACCCACGTGGTCGTACAAGTCCAACAGCTCGGGATAGGACGTCACACCACTGCCGACTGCCTGGGCACACAACCCAGCCAATGCATTGTGCGCTGCCTGTAGGTAGGTAGGTAGGTAGGTAGGTATGTATGTATGCATGTACGTATGAGCGGGGTCAATTGGCTGATATTGTCCAGCCAAACCATAGCACGCTTGAGACATAACCTGCGTGTGTGCATACACTAAGCATGACCATTGACACGAAACACGAGACACACTCCTATAACACCACACCATATGACACATGCCACACACGAACACGTACTCCATACAATCTGAGGATGAGTCAAATCAAACACATCTAGCCCCCGCAAGTCCACCCACCCACCCCCACCCCCACAGATGACTATCCCTGTCCTCCGTACCTGCTTTAGGGTTTTAGGGTTTTAGGGGGTTACTCACCCCTACCCCTGCTTTAGGGTTTTAAGGTTTAACCCCCCTCCACATCCCCACAGCCATATGCCTATCCCGCATACCTGCTTCTGGATGTGTTCCTGTGTGAGATAGGCCGACTGCCTATCCGTCGCCGCGTGTCCGAACCTGCGCACAAGTCCAGAGAATATCACAGTTGCGGGTCGTCTGGTCTCGCGAGTGTAAGCAGTCACTCGCGCCATAGTATCCCACATGTCGAGCATGTTGTTGCCGTCTGCGACGTACACGGGCATGCGCAGCTTGTGCTGGAACTCTTCTTGAAGCCTGCAGGGTTTCAGGGTTTCAGGGTTTTAGGGTGTTATACAGTGTGTGGGCACGTTCACAGTATGGATGACTATTAGGGAGTGCTGAGCATAGACTTGGTTGGGATTATCAGTCACTGGAGCGACCACTCCCTGTGGGTGGCTATGGTTGAACGAACCACTCCCCACAATACAAACTCAGATACAAATGCACTAGCGTTTGGAAAAGAAGCACAGTGCGACGCTTTGGCTCGAGGATGTGGGTTTAGAAAAAATATGAAGACATATCGGTGAAATGCCTACGAAGACATACCAGTGAAATGCTTACGAAGACATACCATTCGTATCCTTTGAGCGAGATACAAACACCGTTATCCGAAATGCCAAAGACGACCGGAGCCTAATACAAACCAATTTGAAAACATTTAGACCAGTTAGCGATAGGTATATTTTAAATATCAGTCGAAAGCAACCGCATACAAATAGTATTCTATTGATAAAAACATATTAACACCAGTTAGCGATAAGTATGTTTTAATTATCAGTCGGAAGCAACTAACGTATAAATAGTACTCAATTGATTAAAACATACTAAGACCAGTTAGCGATAGATATATTTTAATTATCAGTCGAAAGCAACTACATATAAATAGTATTCTATCGATAAAAACATCTTAACACCAGTAGCGCTAGGTATATTTAACATTCGAAAGTAATTGAATATAAATTGTATTCTGTTAACGTGTGGGCGACCACTATACCACACTGCGAGAAACATAAAAAGAACAAAGAGCCAACTGCTTACGAGGGAAATACCGACCGAAACAATGTATCAGACGATGTCCGCTTATATGATATGTGACATAGATTTCACATGAGTGCTTACTATCCCTTGTGTTGTACACACACACACACACATATATATATATATATATATATATATATTACATACGCTGTTTGTATAACATGAGTACATACTATGAATCCGTTGTGTTATATATATATATATATATATAAAAGATATGATACATAGGCTGTTTGTACCACATGAGCACTTACTTTGTATCCCCGGTGTTGTGTGTATTCGGCCAGATTTGTTGCCGACAGGAAGTGTGCGTTGTTGACAGATCCGTCGCCGACGCTCACATAACTGATAAAATCTTTCGGGAAAGGAGTATCTACCTACTACCACCAGACAGCGATACAGAACGGCAACCAACAAGATGACCAAAGTATATAGTTAGCACGGGAAGGTAATTCGCATGTCCCCCGATTAAATAGACAGCCGGTCAACCAAGTGTGTAAGTGGCAAACGGGTTAATGCTAGACGCGTTTATGTACAACAGGTTTCCATGGTTACACGCAGAGGGAAGGGGATATACAGACCAAGCCCCACAGTATTGTATGCATAAAACGTGAATACCTACACACAGCACTTGCCTTGAGTTGGTTCGCGAATACTCCGCCTAGAGCCCTACCGACGGCCGGGGGTGCTTGAGAGGCCAAAGTTGAGGTGACTAGGAAGTCGTGTCTGTGTGTGTCGCGAGAGAGGCATGGATACAGTAACAGCCACGTTGTGTGAGTGAAAACAGAACATATATCTCCTCTATAAATGTCTATTATTGATGAGCTCCAAGCGACGATAACACAACGATACCACGAACTAAACCGATGTATGTACCAGACACACGGTTGTTAAACAGCCGAGTTGAATACGTTAGCAGCCACGTCTCACAGGCACACTGCCTGTTCATGTGCTCTGCAAGCGACGATGGATATACAGAGAGATACAGGAAGACAAAGACCTACGAAGTAAACTTCGGCATCACACACGTGGCTATTCAACAGAACGGGTATACACCGCACATACTTACTACCCCCAATAAGGCAGTGCCGGCCGTGGGAGACCGGATCTTTCGATGACACCACATGGCCTCTGGCACGGTCTATTAATATGTCGTCCAGAGACTTGCCCAGGTGTTGCCGTTGCCTAGCAACCGATGCGGCGAGATGCCGGTAATGCAACGCCATCGCATCGGTAGGACGCAACACTTGTCCCACCGCGCTCATCAACTCCTCTCCACCAGGGCCAATGGTGTAGAAACCCTACAGAGACATAGGCATAAGATAGGCAGTGGCATGAGGATAGGATAGGAAAAGAGGTGATAGCATGCCATATGGTGTATAACCGATACATAGACATAGACATGGGCTTGGGATAGAAAGTGACATAGACGTGGGATAAGAAGTGACATACGGATAGGATAGGAAGTGACATACGAATAGGATGAGAAGTGACATAAGAATAGGATGGGAAGTGATATAAGGATAGGATAAAATGTGACATAAGAACAGGATAGGTAGTGAGATGATAGCATGCCATATGGTGCATAACCAATACATAGACATGGGATAAGAAGTGAGATGATAGAATGCCCGTTGCAGCTCGCGGCAGTTCCTCGTTCGGTTTATTTGAATGTAAACTATACATTCGCGTTTCTGTAATAAGTTTAACGATGCACTCAGAAGAACGGAAACACAGCAAAAAGCTCAACAGACCCGACGGACGGATAGGTGAAATTAGTTTACCTTAAAGCGGACAAGAAAGCGCACACACTTGTCCAAAGCGAACAAACTGTAAAATCATAACAGCCGAGTCACGGGCGCATAGATAGTCAAGCCGCTCGGCGCAACGGAGTGATAGGAGAAAGCACTTAGAGACGATTAGAAACACACACACACACGTATATATATATATATATATATATATATATGTCTCTACGTACTTCGACCGAACGACGGACGCTATGCGGCTCTCCAGATAGTAAATAGTCTCCGTCGGACGAACTACCGTCCTTTCTTACTCCGCCGTCATCACTATTGGCATCGGTCCATCGCCCTGCGCATAGAAAGCAGAAGATCGTA